CGGCCGGGCACGCGAAGGCGCTGCGCCTCCTGCTGGCGCACGGGGCGCGGGCGGACTCGGCTCTCGGGCTGGCGGCGGGCCTGGGCCACCTGGAGGTGTGTCGCCTGCGCGGCTGCCGCGGGATCCAAGGCGCGGGTCCCGGGCGCGTCCCTTCTGCACGCAGAGCCACGGTAGCCCCGCTGCCTCTCTTCGCTCTCCCCAGGTCATGGAGGTGTTGCTGGACCACGGGGCCGACCCGGACGCCCGGGACCCGCACGGCCGCTCCGCGCTGCACAGGGCTGCGACTGGCGGACACCTACCCGCCGTCCACCTGCTGGTGGCCTGCGGAGCCGCGGTGGACGCGCGGGACTCTCTGGACTTTACGCCCCTGCACCGCGCTGCGCGGGGGGGCCTGGCGGAGGTCGCTGGCCACCTCCTGGACAGCGGCGCGCAGGTCAACGCTGCCGGCTGGCTTCACAAGACCCCGCTGCACCTCGCTGCAGAGCGGAATCACAGAGTCACGGTGGAGCTGCTGCTGAGCCGAGGGGCCAGCCCCACGCTGAGAACGCAGTGGGGTGAAACGGCCCAGACAGCCCGAGTGTGCCAGCCCCAACCGCCCCCCGCCCTCAGGGGTTCTCTGGGACAGGCTGAGCCCCACTGAGTACTGTTCTCTTTTCTCTTGGGGATGATTCTCCCTCCATCCCAACCAGGGATTGAACTCAGGCCCTTGCGCTTGCCAGGGACGTGTTTATTCCACTGAGCCATCTCCCTGGTCCCTCTGCAGGTATCTGCGAAATTATTTCTGATTTGATTTTCTCTAGAGCTTCATTCAATTTATTGTTACCACTTCAGGGAGGCCAGGTGCATGCCTTTCAGATTTTCCTCACAGCCCCCTGGGTTTGCCTTTGATGGACAGGATGTTTGGAATTGCATCTTAAATGTCTTCTTATTTTGTAGGAGATGGCTGTCTAAGCCAAAGAAGTTCTAGTGTAGTATCCACTTCACCTTAGAAATAGAAGAGACTGAGACAGAATCCACTCAGTCTGACCTGCCTACTATGTTTTAGTGACAGGGGGACACCTGGGCTGGGTCACCCCCATCTGGTCCTGCCCGAATTGCCCCATCCTTCACTCCTTCCCCTGCGTTATTAAAACTTCACAAACATGAAAGAAAGAAGGGAAGAAACAGGACCAATTAAAGGAAGTAGAGTCAAATCATATGCCCATATGCAGCCTTAATCTCAATACCCGAGCTGTGACCTCGCTTCCATGATGGTGGGCACTGCATTCCAGCAAGGTCGCCGTGGCAACTGGGGAACCTATATAAGCAAAAGGGGAATGAAGAAATGGGCCCTGCATACTCCCAGTGTTGTAAGGGTGTGAGTGTGTAGCAGATGCCAGCAAATAAAGACTGTTATTCCTATCATATGGTCTCCCATGGACAATAATCTAGCCGCTACAATTTTATTCAGTTTTTTAGTTTAATTCCTGGGGTAATGTTTGTAAATTGCCTGTGGTGGATTGCATTATTGCTAGTATTTAGAACCCTTAAAGAATGGGGGCTGGGGAGATGGCTCAATAGACTAAGCGCTTGCCTGGCAAGGGCAAGGGCTTCAGTTCAATCCCTGGCTCAAAAAAGAAAAGAATGACTACTGAACAGTCAACATCAGTGTCTGAATGCCAGAAAGGACCACTGTTGAGAACCATTATGTGGCTATGGGCTATAATGGTACCAGTGACAATAGCATAAAATACAGCCTAGAAAAATTACAAACTGAAGTAACCATTAATTTGCCATGTTTAATCTATGAACTAGATTTGTGGTTATATAACAAAATCTAAACCAAACAAGAAAATTGTATGCAGTATACAAGTCTTTGTGACGTCAATTTTGCTCTCAGGATTTAAAAATGTAAAATGGGTGTCTCAGTTACATTATACTCTTTGCTGGGACAAAATGCCGACACCCAAAATTAAGAAAAGGAACACTTATTTAGCTCACAGTTATAGAAATATAGATATGAAACAAAAGCCTGATGTCCCGAGAGAGCAGGGACAATAGACAGAGCCAGCGAGAGCTGCCGTCTGTCACTTGTAAATTCCCGCAAGCTGGGATTCAAGGCTGCAGGTAACAGCTTCTCCTGCAGGCGCCCTGTCCTTTGATCCCTTGCTTGGGAAGTAATCAGCTAGCATTTGTGTGGACCTAGAGTTAGGCAAATGGTGGAAGTCAATAGAGATGGCAGTTTGTATCCACTTAAGTACTTATGCACGTTCCTTAGCTGCCCTTAGCCCTCAATCAATGTGAGATGCTCCTGAGGCTCGGGGCTCACTTGGAGAGAGACTAATCTCAGGGAGACCTCCGAAGCTGTACTCACCAGGTCTTCTTGTCGTTTCTTTCAGCACCAACCCGTAACATACAACACACAGTTAGTGGAGATTTCAGTCCATACTCCACTGGCTCCAAGGCGAATGGCAGCATTTCATGGTGGCAGAAAACAGTGAAGGGCAGAGGAGAAGCAGCAGCTGCGGCATCTATCGAGCCTCTATGTTGACTGCAAAGACAGGCGCTCCTCCAAGGGAGTGGTTGCGGCTGCGAAGCTCAGAATTCCTCCAAGGAAGCGGGGGCACACAGAAGCCCTCCTCAGCCCCCTTCTAGGCCCTTTTTGTAAAGGCATTTAGTCTATCTGCAAGAGTTGCTGAAGTCCAGTTTCAGCATTGTGGAAAGTCCAAGTCTCAGACCCCGAAGGACTTAGCATTGGCCCTGTGGGCTTTGGGACTTGCTTCAGTCCCCGTGTTTTGTATCCTGCTGCATTACCTTTTGTTAACGTCTATCTTAATGGTAATGTCTAACTTATGCCTCTGAATGTTGCAAGTGTTTAACTTTTTATTTGTACGGGGGCTCACCGCTAAGAGTCTGCCTTAGATCTTGGAGGAGACTCAGGATGCAGACTTTTCAGCAGTGCTGAAACTGTTCGGACTTCGGCATCCTCCACATCCTTGGAGGCATTCTGGGCTTCGCAGTGCCACTTCGCAGCTGTGCCACGTCGGAGGAGCTCCAGCCTTCGCGGTGGAGTTCAAGTCTTCACGGTCAGCTTGGAAGGAAGGGAGTGGGGCTGGGCAGGTGCCGCAGCTGCGCTTCTCCTCTGCCCTCCGCTGCCAGGAACGGCTGCCTTCTGCCCTGGAGCCAGCCAAGCATGGACTGAAACCACTAACTGTGGGCTAAATAAACCTTTCCTTTCTTAATTTTGGGTGTTGGGTATTTTGTCCCAGCAAAGTGTAAAAAGTAATGGAGACAATGGGTTAGGAAGAAATTAGAAGTGCTGGGGAGAGCGCAGCAGAATAAGCACTTGCCTGCCAAGTGCGAGGCCCTGTACTGCCAAAAAAAAAAAGGAAGAAATTAGAGACAAAAAAGAAGAGATTAGGAGCCGGGGAGATGGCTCAGTGAAATAAGTGTTTCCCCGGCAAGCACAAGGACCTGAGTTCAATCCCTGGTTCCGCCAAAAAAAAAAAAAGAAGAGATTAAAAAAGGCTGGAGGGAAAAAAGAGGGATCCCACTAACTTTGGGAAACTGGTGCAGCAGACTGGAGGGAGAGAGAGAAGCAAGAGCTAAAAAGAACAGAACAGGACCACAGCCACACAGAGCCCGTGTTCATACTCATCTAAGGACACATCCAAACCACAAAGGAGGAAAAAACAAACGAGAAAACCTGAAGCCAAAACTACAAAGAGAGAGATTGAGAGAGCAGGAGAGACACCACTTCCGTGTTTGTCTCTGCTGCCGCTGGTAGACAACTTGCGGAGACAGCGTCCTGACCCACGTTGGTTTATCGCAGCAAGCCAGCAGTAGCTTTTTGGCTGGCTAGTGGGTCATCTTGAGGGCCTGCACCATCCCTGGGCCTGAGCCTGGCTGGAGCCGCGAGAAGGAGAGGCAGTGATTCCGAGTGTGGAGCTCAGCTGGCCCTTCTCCAACATGGTTCTTGGCCATTCACTCTCCTGGGCCAGGCTCCTGAGCCCTCAGCACTTGCTGCTGGATGGCCCACTGCTTCCCTCACAGCTGCATCTCCATGGAGTCTCTAGTTGGCCAGCACTCACCATGTGTCCACAGATCCGAATGGCTCCTCCTTCACAGCGCATCTCTGTCAGGGAGAAGGCGCTGTTGGGCGCCTCCTTCTCTATTGAAGTTTCTCTCCTCATTCTGCAGGCTTCAGTTCACACCTCAGTCCCTTCCTGGGCCCAGGAGATCTGCTTCCCTCCTTTCTCCCTCACGTTGCTATATCAGGCATCTGGATGGCAACACAGGGAGAGGCTCCCTTCCCGCTGCTCACCGCTCTGCCAACTGGATCTCCTGTCATGAGGCTGAGGCCGGACCCGAGACGACCCCTCCTCAGCAGGGGCTCCTGGTCTAGCTCCCTCGGGCCAGGCTGATGCTCCCCCAAGCCCACCCAGAGCCTAGACGCTGCACAGTGGAATTGCCCAGACTGCCGTTGTGTGCACCCTGCCTGCCTTTCGGATGGGGACCTAGCAAGGGCCCTGGCTTCCCCACACTTCTTCTGCCTCCGTGTGACAACACCCTGGGCCTGGATGTGGCCTGGCAATAACCCATCGCACAAGTGTAAGTAATTAAAAACCAGTGGCATTAACTTCTCATCTTCATTCAGTCATCTTTATAAATTCAAATTTTCAGTTAGATCCAACACAAACAGAATAGTTCTCTGCTGCAGCTCTGTATCTTCATAGGAAAATCACTGTCATTATTTGATTTTAAAGTACAGCTGGAAGGCCCACAAGATACCTCGGTGGACTAAGCACCTGCTTAGGCAGGACTCAGGTTCGATCCCGGCACCACATGCTACACTGGCCCTGGTTCCGGGTGCACTGAGACAGGGCATAGTGGCACACGCCTGTAATCCCAGTGCTAGGGAGGCTGAAAACAGGTGGATTACCATGAATGACTTGAGTATTTTATGTACCAAAGAAATAAATACAGTACAGCTTTTTTTTTTTTTTTTTTTTTCCCCCTTTTCCTTTCCAACTTGGGCCTGGCAGAATGGCTCCTGCAAAGAAGGGTGGTGAGAAGAAGGGCCGTTCTGCCATCAATGAGGTGGTGACCCAAGACTACACAATCAACATTCACAAGCGTATCCACGGAGTGGGCTTCAAGAAGCGCGCCCCTCGGGCACTTAAGGAGATCGGAAGTTTGCCATGAAGGAAATGGGGACTCCAGACGTGCGCATTGACACCAGGCTCAACAAAGCTGTCTGGGCCAAAGGAATAAGGAATGTTCCATATCGTATCTGAGTACGGTTGTCCAGGAAACAGAATGAGGATGAAGATTCACCAAACAAGCTGTATACCTTGGTAACCTACGTACCTGTTACCACGTTCAAAAATCTCCAGACAGTGAATGTGGATGAGAACTAACTTGGAAATAAAATTACAGAACTGCCAAAAAAATACAGTACAGCCAGAGCTGGGCATAGTAGTGCACACCTGTCATCCCAGCACTCAAGGGGCTGAGGTAGGAGGAGCTATATGAGTTTGAGGCCAATGTACCCTACGTAGTAAGTTCAAGACCACCCTGAACTACAGTGAGAGCCTGTCTCAAAATAAATAAGGTATCAGCAGTTTTAATGGCATGTGTCTGTAGTACCAGCACTTGAGAGGTTGAGGCAGGAGGACTGCTTGAGTCCAGGAGTTTGTGGCCAGGCTGGGCTACGTTATG